TTCATTATTTTATCGAGGCATATAGCTTTTTAAGTTTGATTTTAGAGATCTTGAGTTGTTAATCTGAAATATCAATTCATTTGGGGTGTGAAATAGAGATTTTACTTACAGCTACTAGAATTCTCATCACAAATTTATGACTCAATTTGCAGCTACTGCACTTCCGTGGTAATCGAAATATAACAAGTCCTTTTCTTTAGTAGTTCAGGCAGGTCAAATAACTTTTAAATAAGCTTCAAGTCATTCATGAACTCAAAAGTTTTTATTATCCATCATAAAAATTTTACCATTTTAAGCGATGGGCTTTGTAAGTCATATAATAATAATAATTTATTCTCAAATTACAGTTTGTTACATGAGGCATGCCAGTTTACAGGCAAGATCAAATTTTTACAAATGATGCAATATCCACTGTAGTTAATTACTCAGCTGGGTTGATAATTTAAAAGATATGAATGTAGGTGGTTTTAGTCAGTACCACAGTTGGCGCGCTTCATGAAAGTCGCGTTGCGGATGTGCGACTGATGGTCAAGGATAGGCCAGTTGAAGGTGGGAGCTTCTAGAAATCTCAACCTTATGTCCCTCTGGAATATCCAAGGCTTTAAGGATGGTGCAGGATGAAGTCACCCGTTCCATATCTCAAGGGGGCTGAAAGAGGGGGCAAGTAAAAGAAAGGACGAGAGGCAGAGTAGCCAATATTCATGAAGGAATGTTTTAGGTATGACTACTCAGTCTAATCTTCTTTTATCAAGGTATTTCTTAAGCAAGAGCATTTTGATAGGTTAAAGAAAATAAGTGTAAACAATGTATGAGTGGACATACAACTGACAAATGGAGGCAATTCTGAAAGGAGCTGAGAATATGAGATTATGTGTGGTTATAAAATAGAATATAGTGCTAGAAACAGTATTGTGATATATAATTGACTATCTTCCTTTTTTTATCGAAGCTGTTGGAGCCCTTTTTTTGCATTATTATTATTATTTTTTAATTTTTAGGTATCATAGGGTCTTGAGTAGCCTTCGTGTATTATTGAATTGTCTAGTTTGCTTGTAATAGGATTACTTGGTAGGAAGTGAAACCAATTCAACGTTCGTAACACGATTTAATGAGGTATTTTGCATGATAAATCAGCATTAATATCTTAAGTTCGTGACATCCCACTAAACCATAAGGAGCCGTAATTAAACAAGTTGTTCTGCCCTATAGACATGGGTGGATTGAAGTTATCTCCCCACCATCATCTTTGCTGGTCAGTAACGCCACCCTCCCTCCTTTTGTGATGTTAGGCTCTCTTACGTTTGTGGTAAGTATGAATACTGCTTTAATCAAAGCCCATAGTCGGAATACACTGTCTCTACTAGGTCCATGTTACAAGCAAATCAGATAGTTAAAAAGTTTGTTTTATGGGTTAGATTTCTACATAGTATATCACACTGCTATAAAGATAACTAATGGTTTAAAGAAGTAAGGACTAGTAGCAAATCAAAGGATGTGAGAGGGTATAAAACTGTAGAAAAAAAGATTTTAGGGTAAGAAAAATAAAACATTAGGAAACTCAGAAGACTTTGTGGCCAGATTTTGAGCTTTGCATGATCGGCCTTAGTAGATCAGCATCCATAAGATTGAGCTATCTGTCTACTTGCAATAGAAAAAAAGGCATGACTTTTAGGAAGAATAATGTACATTTAACCTGTAGAGATTTGGGAAGTGAAAGCTAGGGTTAGGAGCATAAAGCCATAATTAATAAACAATGAATAGTAGGAAAGTATAAGCCATATATTCTGTGATTTGGTTATATTCATATTAGTAACAGTCGAACTTGTTATAATCTTGTTCTTTCTAGATACTAGGCGGTCCATAATAAAGTGCCTCATTGGTGGGTGGGAGTTCAAGGAAATGTTGAAGCTCTTTAGAGTCTAGAAATAGGATTATTAGCTTTTTGAATCTGATAACTGTGTCACAGTTACGGATAGGCATTGGCAGCCTGTTCCACAATAAACTATACCGTACTGTAAAAAACTCGCAACGAATTTGTTTTTGGTGTTCTACGGTAAGTGGTGTATATGCGTTGTTTCTAAGTCTATAGGCTGGGTCAAGGGTAATAGTCGGGCAGGATGTTAGAAAGGAGAGCACATATATCGCTTTGTAGAGATCTCGAATAAGCTGGAATAAAGCTAGTGAAATTGAAGTTTCTAACAGTGTAAGATCCAAACTACGTTTGGACTGCTGGACAGCTGTCTGGATGAGTTAGATACGCGCCCTCGCCCGATTGAAACCAAAACAAAGTAATTGGGTAAGATAGCGGTTCTATAATTTATCATAAATTTAAGTGTACATTATTACCTAAACAAATATAACCACTCAGCTATCCAACCAATAATTGTTCAATTGATCAAATCTAAATTACAATAAATAAGAAAGTTGATAAAGGATGCAAGAAAATTACCAATCACAACAAATAAAGGCTATTCTATCCCGTCTGGATAGACCACGTACAGATCCGTTCAAAAGGTAATAATTGGTCGCTCTATAACACAGTGTTTTCAATTCTGGAAGAGTGCTTCACTTCACAACCAAAATGCACAATTCCAGTCAACACAGGTCAACCAATCAAAGCAGGAACAAACCAAAATGGCTGCCGCCAAGACTAAGTGTCAAGTAAAACAACATAAGTGCAGTTCGGGTAGAAACATGGGGAATTAGTGAAGGTGTAGTAAAAACAAAAACTATAATAAAATACAAATATTAACAATTCAAATGTAGCCAAAAAGTTAACAATGTACAACTAAGAGGATCAATAGGAACAAAGTGCAAGTAAATACATGGAGGGATTTTCACAAACACACAAAGCATTCAAAATGGATCTTACAAACAGTATGAGATCAAATGATGTTTTCAATGACCCCACCTTTAAGTTTTTCCAGTTTATAAACCGTGGATTTAAGTAACCTAATATAAAGCTTCTGCCCCTATTACATTAGGACTTAAGTTTGCTTAGGAGGGCGTCATCTACTACACATTCTGGATTGAGATATACTAAGAATAACTTAAGATTTTGCCGTCTACATTTCAGCATGCAACACACCAGTTCACATGTGCCACTGGCCCAACAGTTCGTATGGTTAAGTTACTTTTCATGTACAGGACAACCATTTCTCCCCTACGGTCTAATCTATCGGCCCTACGGGTTGAAAAACCAATCAAATGAATTTCATTATCAGCCACATCTGACGTTGACCATTTTTCTGAGACAGCAAAAGTGTCCAGTGTTTCTATAAACACCATTGTCTTGACCTCTGCCATCTTATTTAGTAGGCTGCGAGCATTTGTGTAGCACACCTTCAATTCTGTAGAGAACTGTCCCTTACCACCCAGAGTGGTTTGGGGATCGTCTTGCTCCGGACTTTTACAATTTGAAATTCCCTTAGTACGAGGTATCTTTCACCATTTCGGCAGCGTCATTTATTTTTACTTCTGCAGTATGTCTCTTAATAAGGTCAATCAGGCTGAGATCCTCAAGGACGTATATTCCAGATCCAGTCAGTTTGCGTGAGTTTCTCAGTATCAGATTTCATTCTTCAGTCGAAGCAAAGGTAACCTTCAAGGAGCAGCTTTTCTGAGTACTTTCAGAATACACCTTTATTCCTACTCTACAAAACATAAAAATGCTAACTCCTGAAACTGTTTCTGCGAGTAGCTTGCTTATTAAGGACTAAATGTGATTGAGGTCGTGATCAAATTTAGCTTTTTGTTCCTTTTCGGAATATTCTCTAAACTTATGAAAAATGGCTGGCCTATCAGCGAGGTCTGTGTTAACACGTCGTGGAATCTTACTTCCTGAAATCATCTCTTCCCTGTAATCCAATTTCATTCGGCATCTAGCACAGAGGTCACATTCTGTTTTCTTGTTTTTTGTGGGTGTGACTGTGAGCCAATCATTTACCTTATTGTGTCGCTTGATCACATCCTCTACACCGTTCAGAATATGCCCCCTCATAGTTTGTTTTGCGTTGATATGTGAATCCGGAACTGAAACCGCCGATTAAAGTGCCTTAATGCTGTCTATGATCAGTTTATTCTCAATGCGCTTTTCCTTTTTTCTTAAGACGATGCCTACATCAGTATGCTTGTTATCTGCTTCCCTGATGGGATCCACCTTCATAACAAATTCAAATCCTGAGCTGGGCTAATGATAACGCTTTCTATCTCCTCAAAAGCGGAATTCCGCTCATCTACTGCTGCCTGTTTATTTGAGGGCAATTTTCTAGTTGTGTTTAGCATCTCAAGCGCCTCTAGAGTCAGCAGAGACTTTGGAGAACAACATGGTTTGCGACACCTTTTATATGCAGCCGTTGCACACATTGTGATAACACTTATTGCAGTTGTCACATTGCATCACATCATCAACATGGAAGTAGCGTGTAGGTGTGGCATGACGATGAAGCCGCAAACTTGTTTTGTGATCTCACAGCGAAAACTGATCTCTAGATAAAATGTCTTTTGAGGTTTGATAAGTGATAGACACGGAACACACAAAAAAACGGAGGTTTGTATATAACTTCACCTAACAGCAATAAAAAAATCCAACTTCATTTGTTATAAAAAGACATTGACAACTATGGATACAAACAATACTAAAAGATATAGTCAATGCGGAAACATAAATACCAATGCCCTTAGTTTTTTTGTATATGTGCAGGAAACATGCATATGATAAACGTTTCTAGAAAAAAAGCGGTACTCTTGAGGATTATTTCAACCGGAATAAATTCAAGTGCGGTAAAAACAGCAGTCTTTATGAGTAATTTGTCTATCAATTTTATGAAATACACTCAGAGGAAAGATACCGTTTTCCTTTTTAAATAACGATCGAGTAAGAAATTTGCAACAAATCCCACACTTTGATGTACAAAACGCAACAACTTGATGCTTAACGTATCCATTAAACTGTAGAAATAAACGTTTTGATCATTCGAAATGATTAGAATGACCTTGACCTTGAACAAAAGCCGCCAGGATCGTTTGATGCGATCTGGCTTGCCTTCCTCGTCGTACTCATTTTCGTCGTACGTTCCAGCTTACTTCAAGTCTCCAAAATACTAGATCTTATTCTTTAATTCTTCGTTGACCATACGATTTTTCCTTAAGTTTGTTCAAGTATGTTAGTATGTGACAGCGTTGTTAATAAGCTAAGTTAGAACAACCACTTGTTATCTTTAACAGATGTTGCTTTTTGTGTCAAAGTTCCTTTGTTCATGGTGGAAAAATCACACCCACTATGTCAAAACTCAGCTTCAGAAGTGTCTCGGGATAGTTTTCTTCAACCTGTTATCGATCAAGGTATTTTTGCTATTGTAGGTTTTTTAAAGTATGTCATTCGGTATATAGATTGACCTTTACGCATAATTCTTGTCTTGCTAAACGGTTTAAATTCCCTTGCATTTCAATCACACTGACATCGTAATAAGAGTTTGTATTATAATCCACTGGCCAAATGGTAACTGTGGTCTCACACTTTCTGAATATTACGAACTTCTGATGATATTAAATCACTTCGGTAGCAAAACAAGGAGTGAGTGGTTTATAAAAGTAATAAAGTCTGGTTACTCGGCGAAGTCTGAGAAGTTTAATTTAGGACTGTTGATGATGCAGACGAACTTAACGCCCTTACAATCAGAACTTTTACTGCTCTACCTTTGAGAAAACGGACATGTCGGTTTTGATAATATTTATATCGCGGTTTATTTTCGTGATTCCTTAATCAGAACTTTTGACGCATGCGAATTGAGGTTATTTTTGGAATGGCTGAAACAGCAAAAGACTGTACCTTATTGAGTTATTATTGAGTAGTTTCCAGTGAGTACTTTTAAATACTTTGTGATGACATTAGTTACGTAAGAGTTGTTACAACTCATAGTCTTATTACAACTTGTTTTTTCTACAGTCAGGTTTCATGACAGTTCAGAAAGTTTGTCACTTAACATCTTACTTACTTACTTACGCCTGTTACTCCTCGTGAAGGAGCATAGGCCGCTCACCAGCGTTCTCCATCCAACCCTGTCCTGGGCAATCCTTTCTAGCTCCGTCCAGTTGTAATTCATCCTTTTCATATCTGCTTCTATTATCCGACGCAATGTGTTCTTTGGCCTTCCTCTTTTCCGCCTTCCTTCAGGATTCCAAGTTAGGGCTTGCCTCGTGATGCAGTTTGACGATTTGCGTAATGTATGTCCTATCCATTTCCATCGTCTTTTCCTAATTTCTTCTTCAGCTGGAAGTTGGTTTGTTCTCTCCCACAGAAGGCTGTTGCTGATGGTATCCGGCCAATGGATGTTGAGTATCTTGCGAAGACAGCTATTTATAAATACTTGTACTTTCTTGATTGTGGTTGTTGTAGTTCTCCAAGTTTCAGCTCCATACAGTAGAACTGCCTTGACGTTCGTATTGAAGATTCTTACTTTGATATTGGTTGAAAGTTGTTTTGAGTTCCATATGTTCTTCAATTGTAGGAATGCGACCCTTGCTTTGCCGATCCTCGCCTTTACGTCTGCATCTGAGCCTCCTTGTTCATCGATGACGCTTCCCAGATATGTGAAGGATTCTACATCTTCCAGAGTTTCGCCATCAAGAGTGATTGGATTGCTGTTCTCCGCTTTGAATTTGAGGACCTTAGTTTTTCCTTTGTGTATGCTGAGGCCTACTGGTGCAGAGACTGCTGCTACACTGGCTGTCTTCATCTGCATCTGTTCGTGTGTACGTGATAGGAGGGCTAGGTCATCTGCGAAGTCCAAATCGTCTAATTGATTCTGAGCTGTCCATTGTATTCCGTGTTTTCCTTCAGATGTTGAGGTCTTCATAATCCAGTCGACCACCAGAAGAAAGAGGAAGGGAGAGAGTAAACAGCCTTGTCTGACTCCGGTCCTTACTTGGAATGCATCTGTCAGCTGTCCTCCATGCACTACTTTGCACTGTAGTCCGTCGTATGAGTTCTGGATTATATTGACAATCTTCTCAGGAATTCCGTAGTGTCGAAGAAGTTTCCATAACGTCCTCCTGTCTACACTGTCGAATGCCTTTTCATAATCAATGAAGTTGATGTATAATGATGAGTTCCACTCAACTGATTGTTCGACGATGATCCGTAGTGTTGCAATTTGGTCTGTGCACGACCGATCCTTACGGAATCCAGCTTGTTGATCTCGAAGTTGGGCGTCTACTGCATCCTTCATCCGGTTCAGCAAAACTCTGTCAAAGACTTCCCCTGGTATTGACAGTAGTGTTATGCCTCTGTAGTTTTCACATTTGCTCAGATCTCCTTTCTTTGGAATCTTGACGAGGTGTCCTTCTTTCCAGTCCATCGGCACTTGTTCCTCTTCCCAAATCTTTTTGAATAGAAGATAAAGCATGCTTGTGGTTGTTTCGATGTCTGACTTCAGTGCTTCAGCTGGTATGTTGTCGGGTCCCGCTGCTTTCCCGCTCTTGATTTGTCTGACGGCCATTCTAATTTCTTCCGTAGTTGGTGGATTGACATCTATAGGAAGATCTATGTGTGCTGCTTCGATGTTCGGTGGATCCATTGGAGCCGGCCTATTCAAAAGCTCTTCGAAGTATTCTACCCATCTATTACGCTGTTGTTGAATTTCAGTGATTGGCTTGCCTTCTTTGTCTTTGACCGATCTCTCTGGTTTACTGTATTTCCCTGATAGTTTCCTCGTTGTATCGTAAAGCTGTTTCATATTTCCTTCTCTAGCAGCTTTTTCTGCCGTCGTTGCTAGTTCTTCAACGTATTTCTTCTTGTCGGCTCTAATGCTCCTCTTCACTTGTTTGTTTGCTTCTATGTATTCAGCTTGTGCTTGGACTTTCTCTGCTCGTGTTCGGCTGTTGTTTATTGCTGCCTTCTTGTTCTTCCTTTCTTTGATCTTGTCCACTGTTTCTGTAGAGATCCATTCCTTATGATGGTATTTCTTTAGACCGAGAACCTCTTGACACGTTGAAGTTAATGCTTCCTTGATGCCTTTCCAGTTGTCCTCCATAGTAGTTTCTTCTTCTTTCAGTAGATCTCGTAAGGCTTGGAACCTGTTGTTGAGAGCTATCTTGAATTCATTGAGTTTGACAGTATCTCGAAGGAAGGCTGTATTGAACCTTTGTATTGCTGTTTGTCCACTTGTCCAGTTCTTTTTTAGCTTCAGTTTCAAATTGGCTACAACTAGGTGGTGATCTGAAGCTACGTCAGCACCTCTCCTGGTTCTCACATCTTCCATTGTCCTTCGGAATTTTTTGTTGATGCAAATATGATCTATTTGGTTCTCTGTAGTGTGGTCCGGTGAGATCCATGTAGCCTTGTGTATACGCTTGTGTGGAAATATTGTGCCTCCTATGACCAATTTGTTGAATGCGCATAGATTTGCAAATCTTTCTCCATTTTCGTTTCTTCCTCCCAGTCCATGTCGTCCCATAATATCTTCATATCCAGTGTTGTCTATTCCGACTTTGGCATTTAGGTCACCCATTAGAATGGTGAGGTCCTTTTTTGGGCATTTCTCTATCACTGACTGCAGCCGCTCGTAGAATTGATCTTTAATTTCGTCGTTGCTATCATTGGTGGGTGCATAACATTGGATAATATTCATTAAGATCCCCTCCTTCTTTGTTTTGAATGATGCTTTGATGATTCTGGATCCATGAGATTCCCATCCTACAAGTGCATTTCGTGCTACTTTGGACAGCATAAGAGCGACTCCCTGAGTGTGTGGAGCATTGTCCTCTTCGTGACCGGAGTATAGCAGCATCTCTCCCGTAGCTAGCCTTTTCTGTCCAGCTTGGGTCCAGTGGGTTTCGCTGATTCCCAGTACTGCTAAGTTGTATCTCCTCATTTCCATTGATATTTGACTGGTCTTCCCGGTTTCCCACATTGTTCGAACGTTCCATGTACCTATAAAAATTTTTGCTCTGGTTGTTAGAAGGGGCATCGGCCTCGTGGCTTCCGAAGGAACTCGGCTTTCACCATGAAGCGTCATAATTCTTCTAAATGAAGACCTTCTAACTCCCAGGGCAGATTTAAAATGGTTTGGATTATTTTTTCTGGTAAGCGTTTTTTTAGCGAGTTAGTTTTCTACGGGATGGGGACGCTAACCCCATGCCCAACCCTCCTCCTTTACCCGGGCTTGGGACCGGCAGCAACCCTATAAGAGCTACAGGCGGAGTTCACTTAACATCTTATACTATTAAAAGATTAGTTTCTGTTTTATTTCTTTTTTAGTGTTGTACCTCTAATTGTAATCCGAATAAATTGAAAACAGTGCAGTGACAATGCAGATTGTGTGGTAGTATTCAAGATTTTGTAAATGAACTAATAGGTTTGTTTTTCGAATGTTTTCACAATATTTGTTTTGCTGTTAGTTTCATGAAATTCTAGCTTCTCTCATTTATTCGTAATATCGAGCTTGGTTCCAGTGTGCACAAGCTTGTTCTCTTATAACAAGATGGGGAGCAAATGGATCGAAGCAGTGGCAAAATCAATAATAGTAGGGAGGACTAAAAGTGGATGCTAGGATTCCGGAAAATGAAGTGCGTACACAGTCTTAAGTTTGTGAAGTAATGTTGAAAATGAAGATTCAGATAAAGATCAAAATTGGATTCGTCTCTATTGTTGTGTCTGGCTGTGAACCATCTCACCCAAGGCATTTGACTATTCACCATAACTATCTCGTGAATCCCAACCAGATAGTTTGTAAATCCCCATGTAATTCTGTCTGGCTGCTAGTGTCTTCGAAAGTGAATCATGTCATATTAGTTTGGTTATCTGTAGTCTTTCAACCTGCCTCTAAACTAGTCGCTATTGAGACCCTAGGTAAACTGTAATATGGGTTCAGTGACATACTTTCTAGCCACATGAATTGAACACAATTTTACAGCCTTAATAACCAATTTGTATAATTTACCTAGTACCGTACATCTAATGCCATCCTCGTTCACTATGTTAAATCAGAATACATGGACTGTGCTTTAAAATACTAGTAGCTCATATGTTTTCTGTCACTTTAGAGGCTATTTTCCATAAGAATTAAGTTAAATAATGGATTGCACACAATAAGATCGTCACTTAATATATCCATATTTTGCGCACATCACAATTAGTGCAAGTTGGCAAAGTCAAACGATCGTGCTTAGACGGTCTTGGTATGTCTATCGACTGCAATTGAATCACTTTGAAAACTATTCATTTTCAGTCTTTACAAGCTAAATAAAACCGCTTATCATATCAACTCTTTTGGCATATATAATCTCACATAGAGCATAAGCAGTCATAGAATATAGGCTTTACAGATCGTTCACTGGTCATTTAAATTATGATTCGATCATAAGATCTAATTTTTCCCACCACAACAGGCTTGTTGCCTTACTTAAATTCGGGATATCACTAGTAAATTACCAAAAAGGGATCTTAAGCGTTGAAATGTTTTTGAAAAAAGACAAAGGATAAAATGAAGTTTGAAAACAAAGTATAGCATTGTCGACCGCTTCACTTGTCTTAAAAGTCTCATCAGCCCTTGTGGTCTGATGTGTGACGAAATCTCAGCACGGATACAGAAGGCTCGACTAGCTTTTGCCAACCTGCGTCATTTATGGCGTAGGCGAGATACCCGTCTACCAGCCAAAGGATGGGTTTACTGCACAGCAGTTCGTTCTGTTGTACTTTATGGCAGTGAAACATGGCCGGAAAGAGAAGAGGATATTCGTAGGTTACTAGTATTCGATCATAGGTATCTTCGAAACATTGCTCGTATATCCTGGGACCACCGAGTAAGTAAGTCAGTTGTTAGGAAACGGGTACTAGGTAAGAATGGCAAATCGATTGACGAAGTAGTGAAACTTGATCAGTTGAGATGGCTGGGACACGTGTTACGTGTGCCCAACTACCGATTACCACAACGTGTGGTGTTTTATGATGGAGTAGGTTGGAAGAAATCTAGAGGCGGCCAGACCAAAACATGGCACAAGTCCATGAAGTCATTGACAAGTAGACTGAGTCATGTTGGTAGGTGTAAACTACCTGGTTGGGGTCCGCGAGGTGATAGCAACCGATGGTTAAAGACCCTGAATGATATGGCTCAAAATCGTTTGCAGTGGTGTGTGCAGGTGCATCCCTTTGTGTTCTCCCAAATTCTAATCTTCTGAATTCTCCATATCCTTTTTTTCCTTCCAAATTTATCTCACTGGATTATACTCCTTGAATAACATCTTCAAACCCTAATCTTTCCGATTACTGCTTATATTCTTACTACCTCTACCACTACGGGATTTGGACCGATAGCTGCATCTCTGTGGTAATGTGGTGTGGCAACTCGATATGATGTACGTACGTACAAAGTCCCACGTTGTTACTGACAGACTGATTGTATATTACTGACTTGTAGGTCAAACGAGTGCATTTAAACTTCTGTAATATATTTGATCAACATTACTGAATGGCGAACTTTTATCTCTTACACCATTTCTGTCAACCATTGTTTATTATATACTGTCCTATTTCAGTCTTTCCGTCTCTTACATTAACGTATATTTTACAGGACAAAACAACGCTGTGCAATAAATGCAAATTAGTACACTTTCTTCGGTTGGTTAGCTGAAATTAATTAAACAGATGCATTAAAATATACTGATAGTGAACTAACGTTGTGTAAAAACGTTTTTCTGCTCCGAAAGCATCAATTCTACAAAAGACTCATTGCAAACTAAAGGTGAAAAAGAGCTCTAACGGATTTTATTGATTAACTGAAAGTATGGATGCTTAAAAGCTACGACTTCACTTTATACCATATTACAGTAGTTAACAATGGATTTTCGCGAGTTAAACAAAATCAAGAAAGAAAATAAAAAGGTTTCTGTCTGATTGACGTCATATTTTACTCTTCAGAAGCCCATACTTGTAATTAAAGATCGAAAAACTGCTCTGTCGGCTTTGGATATTCAAAAGTTGTTAGGCTTGACGATTTTTCCACAACATTTCGTTAAATGGCCTGAGTAAGCTTGTTATTTGTTTATGTTACCTGTGTAGTTGGTGTTCAGTCACCAAGCCCTCGTTCATCAAGAATATTGTTCTGGTATTTATTAACAGAGTAAATACTCTAAAATCGAACGAGAAATATGGACAACAGTTTGCTCTGATGTTTGGGGAGGTAAATCTGTTAACATGTCCATTTTCTTTAGCCACTGAAAGTATTAAATCCAGAAGCTTATAAGTATACATGGGACAGAGAAATTTCTACTGTCCCCAGAAGTTTCCTCACAACTCACGCAGCAGCTATGGCGGGTATGTTTTCTACGTCGTTGCATATTTTTAATCAATTATGACCAGTGACGAAATATTTTTAAGTTTAGGTACCATGTCATACTTGCCTATCTAACTTAATTGCTGTCCCGAGACATCTGATTCATCCTACTAATTATTACCGTTCTACCATTTTAAAATGAAAAACTAATTTCACTATGCTTTATTTGCATTGTGCTCAACAAGTGATCAGTTTGGTCCGAAACGTGTAGCTCTATACATTTTAATGTCATTATCATACCCCTTAGTTGAAGTTTTGTAGTAGGTGCTTTACGAGGTCAATGAACTTGTTGACATTTCAGTTGTTAATTTTCATGGTTTACCGGGTAGACAGAAAACCTTGTATGGTAGAAACAGACTGAGAATTAGTTGTCTGTCATTCTATAATCTAAAGGTAATCAAGTAGACTCCAAAACCAGTTGAAAACTAAGTTGGATCTCCCACTAGGCTGTTTAACTTGGAAAAATTTATCATATTTATACTTTATTTTTCGATGGAAGTTGTGATTTCAACGGTGATACAAAGTCGAAGCATCCGTCAACCTCGTGCTTTGATAAAAACATCGAACATATGCGTTTTTTTGTTTGCTGATTCACTATTCAGATAACTACTTGTGGACTCAATTCGAGAAAGTCGTCTATGCATACGATCTGAAAATAACAAATAGGGTTGGGGAAATTATGTGAAACAATGAAACAGCTAAGTGGAGACTTTAAACGATGGAAGCGGTACAGATATATCACCTTAAACGAGAAGTATTTTGAACGATTAATAAGTGGTGTAACCTAAATTTTGTAAAATTATATTTTTATAGACACGGTTTGTCCATTTATTCGACAAACCATTTATATGTTTATCCCTTCCTATATATGTTATGATTAATGATTCTAGTTTTTTTCATGAAACTATCCATATGACTATTTGTATAATTTCCATATACTAATTATAATTTGACAACCTTGATATTTGTGATTTCCCTGTTCAAAATAAACTTGTAGTCTTCCATATTTTATTCTGTGTGTTTGTGTGTAGATTTAAATAAGTCAATACTAACTCCTGTTCCCCGCCGCACGTGGATAGATGATGAAAAAACTATTGATAAAATGCGTATAATCAAATCAGTTCACGAAATAACTAAAGAACAGTTACCTTCACAGACTACTAATTCTACTTCTACTACTACGACTACTACTAATGAACCAGTAGAAAAACGCACTCTTAAAAGAAAAGCTGATAAACTTTTTCCATTACCTATACCAGGTACACCTGATGCATTTGATAGAACTTTACTGATTTTAAATGTTGAGCAAATGAAAAAAGAAAACGTTCCATTACCTAATGAATTATTAATCGACCAACGTAAATACTTCAAAAACCGTTCAGATTTTGTACCGAGTAAAGTAAGTTTCTTTTTGATTGCTTACATGTTAAAATGCAGTTTCCCTTCAATCACTCATCACTTAATATATCTGTTAAAAACTTATACATTACGTTACTGAATTTTTATTAATTTTGGGTGTTAGTGGCTAGCAGCAGAATCCAGAACTCACGTTTCATCTTTTTTGGGACTTCGCATCTGGATTTACTTGGATTCTAGTATTGATATCTACACACTGAGATTTAAACCCACTAACTTTCTCTTCAAACTTCGAACACGTTATCCAATGAGCCATGGAGTCCAGATGTTCAGAATACACATTCTTCAAAAGGGACAGTTCAATAGCAGTCCGTAATATAAGCACTTCAGTGAATATTTTGCATTTCTTTCTGTCAAAATATCTAAATTTATTGTGCAAAGAGTTTGCACGCAACGATTTACCAATGATTACTGAACTGTTTGGGTTTTTTTCGGTACATATGCATTAGATACCCGTTGGTAAGTAATCAACACCATGCTGTTTGTCCAACTTGTCTTGGTTGTCTACAAACCTTAACTTATGGGTTGCACTGGCCAAACTTAACTTCATTTCATGAAATATGAGCAAACAAACTTCATAATAGACATAACTTTCCATAATCTATCACATAAAATTGTGTATTCTAAAGATGTGAATAAAACTATAAGGTGTTTGATATTATGTATCATCCCTAACTAATCATTGGTTTGCACTAATTCTCTGTGTTCAAAACAACCTGCTAAAAACCAATCATCTGCTTTTCCATTTTCTCAGCTGTAGGATTTATCTTAGTTGAGTGTTACTCACTAACCAAGTATATGTTTGCGTACATGAATTTTAGGTGTAATCACCAGTAATACTATGCGATCGCGCGAGCTGTATCAAGAGGAGTTGGGTTTGTACTTGTAACTCAGTACTTTGAAATTGAATACTTCAAACAACTCAACTAATCCAACTCATGGAGACAATAAGTATTCGAGTTGAACAAAGTTGTGTCGAAAATAAATAATTCACAGCCTCTTTTGCCTGATTTAGGATTAACTAAGGTTTGAGTCATTCTTATTGTAAGGTATGTTAAGAGATTGGAAACAGTCGGGAGGAAACCATATTAATTACCACTCGCCAATAAGATGTATCCATACTATTGAGGGGTTTGGTGTTTCCTATGGGGTCCGAACCTGTGTTACCCAGCTTCAGTCAGGAAAAATTAATGCTAAGCTATTTGAACTGCAACTGAGTTGTAGGATTGAAATTCTTACATCGGTTGATTCAAGGAGCAGCGACCAATGTTACGTCATCCAGAGTATTTAGAAACTTCACTAAATACGCTTGATGTGCATACTTTTGTTGGGATATTCAGAAAAATATCCCAAAAATTATTCTGTTAAGTCTAACACTATCCTTGGACTTGAGATGGTGTCATTTTCGTATTGGTCAATATTTATTTCACGTTTCGTTTTCCTACTGGTCAATACTGTGCAATGTTATTTTCTATTTTATGGTACGATGTGGTCTGCTTAACTGGTATATAAACAAAGTGTGTTTGAAATATAACGATTCATATCTCAGAGGCTGAGACTTGTGTTCCGGACTCAACTTGTTGGGCTAGACAGGGAAGCGGGACCAATCAGAGCCTTAGGTCGTTCTTACGTGTTTGCGCATCTTTGGTCCGATCGATAATTCGCTGTCCTCTAATCTGCCGTTCAGATATAGAAACTTTGAACTTCTATATTTTCACGTCCTAGATTTTTAGGTTTATATATATATATATATATATATATATATATATATATATATATATATATATATATATATATATATAGTTTTTACCTATTAATTCGGTTACCCAAGTTCAGTTTCCTTGTCATTTATGAGTCTTCCCGCTTGCCTAAGTGGTTGAGCAAGCATATAAGAATCTTTTGTTTTTTGTATCGGACGTCGTCCAATCTAACAAGTATTTCTTAAAAGAAAAATTTAATCATATTTCCATATACAAAATAAACGATGACCCATGAAATCAGTAAATTAACATTATTTTCCTTTAATTTCCTTATATTATCATTATAGCCTGTATACCTTCCTGTATCAGCCAACAGCCCAATGTATGCAGTAGACTGCGAAATGGTACTTACATCCGTAGGAAGTGAGTTGGCTCGAGTGACTATGGTTGATGAGAAGGCAACAGTTATGTTCGATCGTTTAGTGAAACCGCCAAATCCTGTTAAAGACTATTTAACTAAGTAAAGTTATTCATCTTTTGTACAAGAAGTCGATATCTAGTTTGTGTTTACCAATCATATTATCTTTTTGTTGTACGCTATACAATAACATTAATTAGCCATTAAACTGATCATTTTGAAAGTTGTACTTTTTAAGAATATAAGGATATTATAGAAGTATTCACAACCTATTATAGTTTAACATTCAAATTCTTAGTAAAATTATACTTTGCTAATGAACTAACTAAATTTAAGATAGGGGCTGATGGGTTTCTTAACGAAAGTCAGCTTATATTTTATTGACAGATAATTAATGAATGAGTAAAAAACTTGTGAATATTCAGTTGTGAAAACGTTTAAGATTAATAAATATGGAAAGGTTAAAGAATAAGAACCATAATTTATGAAGCCGTTGGACTAACCAAACGGTTGTTAATTCATATCTAGGAAGCAGCTAGATATGTGTTCATCAATATACCTACAAAACGTTCTTTAACCCTGTTCCTGAAAATTACTCTTAATCCAAATTCCTAACACAGTTATTTATTCTATCATGTTCATAGTATCCCTGGATTCACTAACATTTTAAAATATAGAACAGATGAAGTATAACTAGTAGTGAAATTCAGGGCATGCGTTTTATCCCACCTGGAATTCGTCAGCTGTACACACCTACATCCTGCTGTTGATGTTTGGTTCGGGACTCGAACCCACTATTGTTCGCTCAAAACACCATTACGTTATCAACTTAGTCACTGATTCGAGATAACGACTCACTTGTATAATCGGGGGAATTTTAATTCATTTGTATTGGTTATTTGAATCGTCTTATCGATGTTTTGAACTACAATTGACTAGTCTCTTTTGGCATATGTACGTCCTGTGCGGACTCCTTCGATATTCCCATCAGGCCGCAGGCATTATGAGCAGAAATGGAGGGTGGGTAGCAGTGGAGTCTCCGATGCACGTCTCATCCTACTTGGTACTTGTCAGTTGAATGTACCTGCATCTCATATCTGATAAATTACGGTCACGAACATCAATGAGATGATGCGAACAACCAGTATTTACATCACTATGGAATTCTCATAGAATAAATAATTTATATATTGATTATTATTGGAAGAAGTAGTATTTTCCGGTAAATCCGACTGGAATTAAAAAAAAAGCTCTTCAAGCGATGTTTTAAAAGTCTTAAACTATGTAAAGTTGAGTCCGATACCCTGGTATTAATGGCTGATTCTCAAAGCTACTTCACAGTTCTCTTCAAATATCTCAAGATTTCGTAGTGTCACCATCGTTTGGAGCTGCGATCAACTTCCTGAGATTTTATTGTCTTCTCGAAGCTGAATTAGAACGTTTTTCGAGGGTCGGGGGAGTTTAGTTTGCACTTCTGTTTTACGTGATTTGATTTCCGACTCCTGTCGATCCATAATGGTATACTAGAGGTTAGGCTTTGGTACGCGAGACCATCGGTCCTGTGTTTGATTTCCGCATGTGAGGTCGTGAATGCCTACTGCTGAGGAGTCTCACACTAAGACTAGACAACTGTTCACTGCTTCCAGGTTTTCAATGACGGTATAACATTGATCAATTCATGATTTCAACGAAACAGCTCTTCTGTTACCCAGATTGTTACCTAATCTTTGATCTTTTTGCATTTTACACTATTTTTTTTATTTCAGATTCAGTGGAATTACTAGAGAAATGCTTGCATTAATAGACACTACACTGGCAGATATACAGCGCGAATTAGCTGAAACGTTACCAGGAGATGCTATCTTAGTTGGTCATTCGATTGGAAATGATTTAGAAGCCATGAAGGCAGGTGAAATCCTCTTTTTAAAAAAATTTAGTGAATTACTGGTTTATATAAAGAAATAAATTCTGGATTTTTGAACTAATTACTGTCATCCATTGTATATCTGAGTGAGATCAAACATGTAAACCATTAAATCTAGTTTCACTAGTTTAAACGTTAATTGCTCTGTGCAGGATAGGGAGGTTCTGGGTCCAATTCCCGGTGAGATTATCAATGCATCGTGTTGACGAGTTCACCGATTCCTCATTTTTAGTAGTTGTCTTGTAGTGGCTGGTACTATGTTAAGCTAACACGGGTTATTCTAGCTTCTGAATAGACCAATTTATTTATTCTTTTTGAGTTACATTTAGACCATGTTACTTATTCGCTTATTAACCTTGATTGATTTTATGTGAGTGTGTGTTAATTACTTACCATAATCATTGCGTGTCTGCAGCTTATTTTTGTCTGACTATAAATATCGAGTCACGCTTGATCAAATAGAGTTATCTCATTCGCCTTCTCCGCTCCGTTCCTTATTCTGAGTGTTCGGATAAACGAATGCTTGAAATAAATTCCTCCAACACAACTCGTATTTGACTTCTTATTACCGCTGTCACACAAACTGGGTTAACCTAGGTAATATACGGAGTTAAATGGAAGATTTATGTTCATAGCATATTCATGCGTTCGTCCAAATCGAAGTCAGATCAGCGGGCTAAAGCAGTCTAACTACGACCAGCCTCTGGTACAAACTATTAACATAAAATCAAGCTTAACAATTTTTGCTAATGTTCAGAATTAATTTGTAAATATTCATTGGGTTTATTGTTTTAGTACTTCAAATGTTCTATCTAGTTCATTATTGAAATAAATACGCTAACATTTTACATTCCTATTCGTTATAATCAACTTCCAGTTAACAAAATCTTATCGATCAAGGTTCTAGGCAGTTTGGTAATGTTTGTTTTCTTTTTCACACAAAATCTCAATTTATCATGTACGTTAGGCCATATGTCTTAGAATCAGTTACAAAGTAGATGTAGATCCATTCATTTTTGTCATTCCTTAGATCTCGAGTTATAAAATTATCTGATACTTTTCATCACGAGAAGTTACTATTTTTCTTCTCGAATCATCTTGTCTGTGGCTGTTTTCTACTACTACAGTTGGATGGAAAAGAACCTGTAAATTTCTTTTCGCTAAAAATTACTGTTTTTACTTAATTATTTGAATAATTTCAGGTTTTTCATCCGTATTTAATTGATACAAGTGTCATCTATAATCTGAAAGGCAATAGAGCGGCTAAAACACGTCTTCGATTCCTATCAGAACATTTTCTCGGGTTAGTTGTTAGTTTTTTTATTGTTCTGTTACACTAAATAAGAGCTCATGTATGTGTTCATTTTTGATAGAATTCTTTCGTTGATTATCGGGATTTCTGTTTGAAAAAACAACAGTGATTGTAGCAGAATAAGTACAGAGTCAGTTATTTTGTGTATCAATTCTCTTTGATCCACAATAGACGAGTGCACATAATTTACTATCAGGTTTATGGAAAATTATGGGCATAAACATGTATGAGGGCTGTTGAGTTTCTATAGTTGACACCGCGAACTGACTTTTGATATAGAGCAAGAACAAAGATTGGTGCAGAATAATAAATGGATTCATTTTATTTCGTTAAGTTCTCATCAGCTGCTTACAACCTAAATTATTTGAAATTCCAAATTATTACAGATATTGACATATTGACATACATAAGAGTGTGATGAAGGATCAATACATGTGTATGATGATGTAGCGAAGATTCAGATAGAGTTAATGAGCTCATAAAATGTTTGATTCGAATAAATAAATAAAGTTAGAGAGAGAAAGTTCTGGAACATTGAAATAGTGATTAGAACTCATGAAAATTGATTAATGGTAATAAAGAAAATATGAATTGAAATCAATCATTTATGTATGATGTAATTTATATTTCAGAAAGAGTTGCAATAATGACGCAATAAATAAATAAATAGGAGCAAATTAATAGAAAGAGTGGGGGTTGTTGTTACCAGGGTAAAGAAAGATTTATTACTGTCTCTTTTTGTATACATAGATCTGATTTTAAACGTTTGATTGCTAACGCTTCAGCGAATTTCAAAAGGTTCGAGTTTGATTGTTTGTTAATCACCTTGAAGGACTTCAGTATATCAACTTCATGTCCTGTATCAAGGAGATGTCTTGCGATAGCACTGTTGAATGCGTTCAATCCATTTAACCTTAAACTTTTCGGAATATGTTCTTTGAATCGAACGTAGGCTCCCCTTTCTGTTCTACCAATGTAACTGCTTTGGCAGGCACATGTAAATTTGTATACACAGTTGGTGGTAACATGAAAGGGATACCTGTCGACCTTTGATTGTGTCAATGAACATGTTGGTTTGGACAGGACAATCAATTTCGCTGCAGGATAAGTTCTTGTCAGTGCAGTTTTTAGTCTCATATTGATTGATCCTGTGACATCGTCACCTTTGAATTGAAGTTGAATAAAAATAGGCTTTTTATTTGCTGTAATTTATTTCGGTTTTTTATCTTCACATTTGCCATATTTCTCAATAAATTTCAGTGGGTATCCGTTATTCTTTAAACATTTTCTAACATTCATAACTTCCTCTTCTAGTGTATTGGAAGTACATATTCTTTCTGTTCTGTGAAACAGTGTTTTGACCAGTGCCTTTTTGTAACTGATTGGACAAAAGCTATTGAAATTAAGATAACTACCATTCCATGTGTCTTTCTTACCATTAATCTATTTTCAATGTTCCAGAACTTTCTCTCTCTAACTTTATTTATTTATTCGAATCAAAAATTTTATGAACTCATTAACTCTATCTGAATCTTTGCTACATCATCATACACATGTATTGATCCTTCATCACACTCTTATGTATGTCAATATGTCAATATCTGTAATAATTTGGAATTTCAAATAATTTAGGTTGTAAGCAGCTGATGAGAACTTAACGAAATAAAATGAATTCATATTATTCTGCATCAATCTTTGTTCTTGCTCTATTTAAGATAATGAAGGGAACTATGTGTATGAAATGACTTTTGATAATCATAACGGTGGTTTCCGAAGTTCCAATAAGAATTCATGACCAGTGAAGTCCAACCATGTCGTGTGCAAAGTAGTTCTGGAAGAGAAATCGGACTATATCGCGAACTAGCTGGAGCTAGTCATGTAAACCATTGGGTACTGATTCAGTGGTCTAAAGGTCAAGTGCTCTCTGCGAGATTTGAAGATCCTTGGTTCGATTCCCGTTAGAGTCGTGAATATGTGTATTGTTGAAGAGTTTCATATTTGGACAAAAAAGCACTCTGGCTTTTGGTGTTTGTCTAGTTAATGCCAGTCAGTGGTGTGAATTACAGAAAATGCGTAATCAAGAGCAGAGTTGAAATATTTATGTAGAATAGTGAAATTGTAATAGCTGTGGAAAATACTTCAACAATTTTCCATGCAGTTGATTATTTTATAGGTTAGCTTTATGGATAGTCTAGAAGGAAACGGAGTCTCAGGAAAACATTAGTTTTCTAGACATGGATAGTTGAGGCTATAAGTTAGATACTTATTTCCAAAAACAGAGATTTAAACTCTCAATTCATTGATTTTATTGAATAAATCCATTCAAAGAGTATTACATGCTCACATACAACTGGTTGAAAGGGCGAAATCCAACTAATAACCAAAATACTATTTGACATAAATATTGTAAGTACCTTCTAATACAACTGAGCGTATTACTTAGTAGGAGTGAGGAAAACAAAGAATGTTTAAGGTCGTCAAACCAAGAACTAGAATCGATCTATGGAGTAAGTAGTTGCTTATTAAGACTGAGTTATGTCTGGAGTTACAGATTTCCTGAGACGGAATTTAATTATTAATTGTTTTTTTTTACTGGTAATCTTTGTTCATATAGTTAGATACTGGTATTATAGTGATCGAAGACTTGGTGGGGAAAACCAATTTATTATTTTTATGCCTTAGTAAAATATCAAAATCATACATTAAGTACATCATTGTGTTTTCTTTTACATACTTTTTCGTTCTTCCGATCCTTTTGTTATTCCTATTCTCGTTTTCTCTTCCCTTCTCTTTATTCCAATCTTCTGCTGGCAGGCATTCCACTTTCAATTCCTGTTACATACTACTTTTATCTATCGTTGTCAGTAGCACGCGTCACAGCATCAATATTAATATTATTTCGACCCAGTTCATTTTATTAATATATTCCCCGCTGTACAATAAAGAAATTAGCTTCATAGATTGATGTATATCACAAATATATTGAATTCATATTTCTAGAAAGTTTTGTTGTGTTCTAGAGAAATTAGTCATCGAGACAGAAATAAGCTTCAAGACCAAAATCATTTGGTAAAAAAAACTGGTGTTACTTCAACATTTCCAATTGCATACACTTTTTCGTTTTAGACGTATGATTCAAACTGGTAAAGGAGGTCATTCTTCCGCTGAAGATGCCATTGCTACAATGGATCTGGTGCGATTAAAATTAAGCCAAGGTAATTAATTATCGTTTGTTGTTGTGGTCAGATTATAATTTATGGACAAACCAATCAGATTTAAGATAACAGATCTTGGATTTTGGCGCGAAATTCATTCACCTGTTTGGCTAAATAGAGTTTTGGAATTTTAGCTGATGTCACTTCGTGATGAAAACTTTAAACCTAGTTCCTAACCCTAACCATCAACTGTAAATCATAATCCTAATTTTTCACACTGGTTTATAATCCTTATTTAGGTGGACATTTTCATGGTCACTTCAGCGTCACGCTAAGGTCGTCCATAAATTATAGTGTTACTGTTGCTGTTGCCTATTTTGTGCTTTCGTTTTAAAAACAAAATTAAATGTTTTAAACAACAGTATACTGTATGCATTAATCAATCATATTTTAAGACGGCGGCTATGGGATTGTTGTTTTGCATGGGGTTTAAGACAGTGACGGATACCTAGGTTATTGTGAGCTGAATAAGAATCATTTCGGTTATTAAGATATTTAAAATTAATGGAAGGAAGTATAAAAACCATAATTAATTAACTAGTTTTTCTCTTTTAATGGTAACTTCAAGGTTTTTGATATTTAAAATCAGAGGACTAGTCGCCTAACAACTCATTCATGTTTCCCAAGAAAAAAGTTTTTTTACATTATTCATCATAACCATTGCTTCTAATTCTTATTCTATATCCTGATTCTTTCTAACTTTAAATCTTGAAACATCAACTCTGATCAATCTGACCTTTTAACCATAATCTTAACTGTAGTCTTTTATTGGCTTTTTATGTAACAAATTATTCATATGTATCACCTACATTTTGATGAACTAGTAATTATCTACTTTCTCTAATTCATATCCTATTTATTTATTTGAACATGCAAATATTGGTACGAATTGGCACCGAATACATATGCGCCACGCAGGTCACTTGATTTGTGTAAGGGCTCTGATACTTATCGGGTGCCCAGGTCGAAGCAGATGGTTTTCTTAGGCGGCCACACCCTGGACCTTCGACCTAAAGGTCTGATCCACAAGGCAGTTGGGCAACGTCAGGAGATGCAGTCCCATGGTAGCCGGTGACCAATAATTGGTTCATACACCACTTATTCCTTCACAATCCTGTAGCCGATGTGTACTATTGGTTTGGAATCAGGGTTTTTCAACTACCCTAGGTGAATCCTCCATATCCACCACCTTTTCAAAACGCCGGACATTCGCTTTTCATCCTCTCGGTTTCGTAAACAACACCCCTGACGCGAGAATTCAGTGAGTAGGACTTTCCTGGTAGTGGCTGTGTACACGTGGGCATATGAAAGCATTTCAAGAGGAAGAGCAGACTCTACCCACCCTCAGCCGTACCAAGGCATTTGGCGCCCAGCTGGGGGGGGGTGATCCCCCGACCCTCAGATGAAAAGTCTGATGCTCTATCGGCTGAGCTAACCGGTATCATTTTCAGTTAATAAACGTCAGTGTGTGATTTCTCCTGATTAAATAAACAAATAGTGTGTAATTCAGAACCGATATACAACTTTCTATGGTGTTTAACGTAAGCCATGACCTATAAAAGTAATCAAGATGAAGGTTGATGGTTTTATGTTCAAAGCACTCGAAATTTAACCATTGAGTGGCGGGTTCAAACTGCAATTAATCTATTTCGGTTTGAGTAACTGTATGTATCACTAAGATTTATTCAAACAGACTTAAGGTCCAGTACATAAATGTGCACTTAGACTATTACTCTCCTACATTGTTGGTTAAGGACCGTGTTCCATTGAAAATTGATTTTAAGTGAAGGGTGGAAGCTGTTATATGTTATCACAATGATATCATCTATACCATAGGATACAAAAGTTGTGAGTTCAGTCTCATATGGAATCGCTGAACTTCATTGCTGAGGAAGTCTAAAGCCATGACGAAAAGCAACTGTACATACCCATTTGATAATAGTTGATAATAAAGTTTGTTTCTAATAAAGCCCAGAATTATTTAAATAACATTATTATCTTAAATTCGACTTATTTGTTTATGTGTTCAGTTCATATTTGTAATTGTTTATTTGTCTAGATATTGGCTTTGGTGATGTGACTACATCTTGGCGTTTCCCAGAAGATTACCAATCGCCAATAGAAACCAAGGTATTCCGAATTGTTATTTATGTGTTGATGTTACTATGTTTAAGTAAGAAGATTATTTTATCGATGCGGTTTCGAATCCAGTTTCATCTAATTTGCTTTTGAAAATCAAACAGTACTACTTATTAAGTCTTTATTATAATGCGAAAAAGAGTTAAAACTGTCTACATTATCAGCGTTAGATTAAAAATATATTTGATTACGCAACAAACACCCAATAATTTGACCGTTTAATTAAGAACCAGATTAGACCAGAATGAGCGTTTATCGACACAAATACTGAACAATCAGTAAGTGGAATGAATTTGGTAAGATAATCACCCTCCTGTATTTAGTGCATCGTGGTCTAGCTTCAACTGACTCATGATCTTAACCATTGAAATTACTATAATATCCACAAAACCCATCTGATATTAAATTATATTTCTTTGAAGGAGGAACTAACATGTCCAACTGATTAAATGAATAGTTATTTTATTCTTTTGCTTAGTTATTCCTTGGAAAATATACTTCTCTCGATTCTTCACAAGTTAAAACAAGAAATGATAGCGAACAAATATATGTAGTGAACGAGAACTCAGGTAGAACCGACCAATGTATATAGTAATTCATGCAAAGTTACAGAATTCTTTGGTAAAATGTGAAAACCATATATTACGTTCTTCAATTGCCTCAAACTTCATTGTTCCTTCAATGCCTTTTGTAATTACACTGTTTACATCCCCGTTTTCATCAATTCCATCTTCACAACCTTCTACTGCCTGGCACTTCACTTCTGACTGGTGTTACGTACTATTTATACCGACGTAATTACCATACACCATATATATATTTCTAAATCCTTATGAATAACGATGTAAACAATACTATGTTACGTCCAAACGAAGAATAATAGATGAGTGGTAACTGCCAGGGATTATTTATGGACTATTATTACATATATTCTTATTGGATAGTTATTAAGTAACTAGCTTTTATATATGTTACTTACTTACGCCTATTGCTCCTCGTGGAGGAGCATCAGCCGCCCACTAGCATTCTCCATCCAAATCTGTCCTGGGCAATCCGTTCTAGTTACTATTCATCCTTTGTATATCTGCTTTCAATTCCCAACGCAGTGTGTTCTTTGGCCTTTCTCTTTTCCGTTTCTCTTTAGGATTCCAAATTCAGAGTTGACTCAAGGTTGTTAGTGTTGGTTGACGCATCATTGGTTTAGCACAGGGACAAAGTCATGAAAGTTGATAGTGTGACTGACGATTTTGTCACGTAGTATTTAACAGGCCATAAGACATAACATGTTGGAGTTTATTTATAATTTAAGTAGGACTTTTCTAATATTATCTCAACTCACTCACTACTGCTAATTGGTTGAAAATCATCGGACTTAAATATTTGATAGTTAAGTATCAATCATTTTGTTTACAAAGAAAACTTCTGACAGAACAATCTGTGTAGTTTTTGTTTTACCTTCTCTCAATTGATTGCACTCATAAAAAGAGTTTAAAAGGAATATATATATTGAATACTTCTTTTGGTAATTCATTTCTTGAAACTAAGAAAAAAATGATTTGTTTACACCTTTTTAAGTCTGCTAGATTTACTGCATTAACAAGTAATAAACAAAACTTAAACATCTCTGGTTGTTTACAGCAATACAACAATACTACTAACGACAATAACCTTCCATTTATTTCATCAACATGTAATGATTTATTAACAGAAAGTCAATATTTTGAAACTCATCCAGTTTTTCAAGATCATCTATTAAAATTATGTTCATTTTATAAATCTTTGGGTAAACCAATTCACTTGTTTAATCGTTTACTACATGATTCCGGTATAACTTATGCTTATTGGCCAATTTATCAAGGAGAAAACGACAAAGAACAACAACAACAACAACAGAGAGAAGAACAAGAGAGAGAAAAGGAATCAGTTCAGCATATTACTACTGATTCAAAACATAGCGAAATTTTCATACCTATAAATTTTAATTCAACTGATCATCAAACGACCACTACTGATAATGTAAATACAACAACAACAACAACTACTACTACTACCAACAGTGATGAACCTACAACAACATTGACAGTAGTCAATAAGATTTCGAAAAAATTATCAAATTACATCGTTGATTTGTGTAATTCACATAGATTAGTAATGATACAGGCGAATTGTTCGCCTGAATGGGATAAAGAAGTAAGTTGTTTAATATATTGTACAGTTTTATTACTATGGAGCGTTTGTAGATGTGATTGAAATTCATAGTTTACATCATTGACCAATGTTAGTCAGATGATCATTGAAAACCAAAAACTACTGAGTAACTGTTTCGTCTTAGTATGGGACTTCTCAGCAGTGAAGCACACCCATGACGCCGTAAGAATCTGAACACTTAACCTTTAGACCGTTCAATTGCCGGTTAGCTGTCTAACTTCACGCATTTCACGGTTTTTATTTGATGCAGTTAAAATGTGATACGACTGAGTACTCAAATAATATGCGCTACAGAAAATAACATTTGTGAGTCCTTATACCGAATCAAGTAGTTTTCGTAGGAAGCGTCTCCTCAAGCTTCTGACCTAAAGACCCAACCCACAAGGCATTTGAACAACGCCAGATGGTGCTGTCCGATGGTAGTCAGCGACCACAAATGTTTCCCTCAGGATTCTGGAGCCAACGTACACCATTAGTTTAGAATCAGGATTTCCCAGCTTTCCCGAATAAAACCTTCGTATCGACTAAACAAACACAAAATAAGGTAATTCGTTTACCATATATATATCTGTGTACTCGGTTTCGAATCACCAGACTACTTAGCCATCTTACAATGCTACTAGAGGTTAACTGTCTCACATGGTTGGAGTTTATTGGTCACAGTTTCTTCCTACGTCCCTGGGATTTATGACATATATTCCGATGGTAATGGTAAACGATAGATTTGATAGTTCGTCTGTATTTTCAGCATTAAATGTCAACCTACTTTTATTCTATTTTTTGTTAGGAATCAACGTCAAGGACGCTACCCACCACTGTTCACGATCATTGCGTAGGCTTCCTGTAAGCTTGCGCTTGAACTGACTCCACTCTTCGTTATGTTCAGAGCCAGATGGAATGAGTTTTCGAGCATCTATCGGAGTGGTAGATGCTGCTGAGATCCAGTGTTTCTCCCTAACCTTGTGGTTTACCGTACTGGCAGATATCACTGCTGTTTCCACAGCTTTTCGGATGTCATTCCATGGTGCCTCGGGGTGGGCATCACATACATGGCTGCCTAACTGTTTTTCCAGTTGTTCCTGAAATATACTCTTAGCTTGACTATCATTAAGTATTGCCCTAAGAGGTTTCCTTGTAGTGTCTTTCCTACGTCCAGTAAGACGCAGACAGATACGCGCTCGCACTAGAGCATGATCTGAATCTAAGCATGTGCTCCAGAATGAGCGACAGTCTTCTACCGAGTCCTTCCATCGGTGGCTGATAGCGGTGTGGTCTATTTGGGCCCAACGTTGGGACGAATTAGGGGGTCGCCATGTTAAAAGATAACTCCGCCTGGAGTCCCTCTGGGGGCTACTGCCGGTCCCAAGCCCGGATAAAGGAGGAGGGTTGGGCATAGGGTTAGCGTCCCCATCCCGTAGAAAACTAACTCGCTAAAAAACGCTAACCAGAAAAATTATTCATGTTAAAAGATGTTTTTGCTTATGCTTAAAGTTAGTATTTACAAGGAACAGGCGGTTATCTGAGTATAGCTGCAACAGACGGTCGCCATTATCTGTTCTTTGAGCCACGACGCTAAAAGATCCACCCAGGTGTCTTTCGCTTAGTTTACCTACTTGAGCATTAAAGTCACCAGGCACTATTACTACATCAGAGCGCCTAGCTTTTCGGAGGTCGGAAAGCTTTCTGTAAATCTCATCTTTTACATCATCTGAGTTGCAGTCAGTGGGAGAATAGGCAGAGGCAACGAAGAGACAACGACGAGTGTACCTATCTCTGCGAGCCTTTACTGTTCAGTTTAGTCGGACAGAGCACAAACGACTGTTTACTGGGATCCAGTCTAAGAGAGCTAGTTCTGCCCTGAGACTCAGTGCCTGTTGTCTTATTTGTCACAGTGTTCGGACGTTGAAAGCTCCTACGTGTAGTTTAGAGCGTGGTTTCAGGAGACCAGGAATAACGTTCCGCGTACTCGAATCGTTTGCCCTAGCGGTGCGAGGTGATAAAGAGTCGTGAGAAGGGTTAGTCGGGGAGATAAGAGAGGTATTGGCTTATAGCTTGTGTATATTAAGTAGCGTTTATTGATTGTATACTTTCAATAAAGACTATTGAGTCAACATATTCATCACCAACATTTTAATTTTCAGTAGGAATTATTCTATTTGTTGTGATGGGCGGTGTCCGAAATCTAGTAATGATACACGACATGCAATGTGCTACCCCCCAAACTGACTGCTTGGGCGAGAAAGTATATTGGGCTACCGAATACAATGCACAAATACCCATATAAATATTATACAACTCTACCGCTTAGGAAATCATTCCATTTCTTAGCCAATGAAATACACTTGTCCTACAGGTCACTTCTAATTGCTATCGATCAACCCTCTAATTTGGCTACCCCTGATTGGTTTACCATATCACTATTCGACTAAAGTAGGGCGGTAGTTTAGAGATTAAGGCGTTCGGCTTTCACTCACTAAGTTCTCAAGTTCGAACTCCGCTTAAAATAGTAAGGTTTAAACAACGGGATAGTAGTATCATTGACTCTCACTTGAAGTGTGGCTCATACTTCAAGCACATATCCAAGTGCCTGGTGGATGATTGTTAATTATACATATATTATTTTATTAGTATTGATTCACCAACCATAATAACGATTATTATCCACTCCAAAAATGATATTTTCTTTAATTCATTAATTATATTAACAGCAATACATAGAATAAATGTTGTTGATCAGTCAGTCAGTAACAACGTAGAACTTCGCACGTACGTACATCAGTTTGAGTTGCCATACCACATTAGCACAGAGATTCAGTTGTCAATTCAAATCCCGTAGTTGTACAGGTAGTAAGAGTATAAGCAGTAATCGGAAAGATTAGGGTTTGAAGATGTTATTCAAGGAGTATAATCCAGTGAGATAAATTTGGAAGGAAAAAAAGATATGGAGAATTCAGAAGATTAGAATTTGGGAGAACACAAAGAGTGGATACACCTGCACACACCACTGCAAACGATTTTGAGCCATATCATTCAGGGTCTTTAACCATCGGTTGCTATCACCTCGCGGACCCCAACCAGGTAGTTTACACCTACCAACATGACTCAGTCTACTTGTCAATGACTTCATGGACTTGTGCCATGTTTTGGTCTGGCCGCCTCTAGATTTCTTCCAATCTACTCCTATACCACTGAACATCGCACGTCGAGGCAGTCGGTGGTTGTACATTCGTAACACGTGTCCCAGCCATCTCAACTGATGAAGTTTCACTACCTCAACAATTGATTTGCGATCCTTACATAGTACCCGTTTCCTAACAACTGACTTACTTACTCGGTGGTCCCAGGATATACGAGCAATATTTCGAAGATACCTATGATCGAATACTAGTAACCTACGAATATCCTCTTCTCTTTCCGGCCATATTTCACTGCCATAAAGTAGGACGGAACGAACTGCTGCCCAGTGAACACGTCCTTTGGTAAAAATGTTGTTGATAATCTCTATCAAGTTGAACAGTCTTAATTACTATCAAAATAAACGCATTATTACCAAAAAGTAATTGTGTTCTTTGTCAATTGTGTAAATATATTTTGCATTACTAATGTACCCTTGTTGAATATTTTTGTTATTCGTTTGTTTTCTTTTTACTTTTTACAGAAATGCTACCATAAAGTGTGTAAATTCTGTACAAAATTATATTCTAATTTAGCAGAAAATAGTTTAATCGGTGTTATTTGTACAGGTTCCGAATTTCAAAAGCCATTATCTAAAAAACGTACACATGCAAACATTTTAAAATCAGCTTTAGGCAATTTCTATATAACACTCAATTCAAATGTTGTTGTTCAAACTACAACTGTTGATAATGATTCCAAATAAAGATGCTTATTAGTATTGACTTTTGTTATGTGTAAATTTTGAATTTCCAACCGACTCAATCTTTTGTTTATACCATAATAATTTCCGAAATATAGAAATAAACATTATTCTTTTGTATTAATTACGCATATTTCTTATGATAATGATGATGTAATTATTTACTAACAAAGAGATATATGATCGATTCCTACGTTTTTCATTAACAAGTCATTGATTTAATGGTAAAGAAACGTCTACATCAATCAAGGAAATGAAAATTGGTCATTATCGCTGTATCTTTGTTGAACAAATAAACCAGCAACTAATCTTATATCGCACCTGTGATTAGAGGACTGTCTTTGTTTCCACAAATAATTATATCAGTCAGTTAAACGTTATATAGAACTTGTTACATATGTACATCGGTTCAAGTTGTCACATCCCATTAGTACACCGAGATGAAATTGTCAGAATAAATACTAGATTAATAGGGGCAGTTAGAGTATTAGTGGTTATAGAAATGATTGATTGAAAATGAATCAGTGAGATAATCGAACTCTTTCAATGGTTCACTCGAAATAAATATATATTGATCCATGTTCTTTCATTGAATACCTAACAACATATAGTTGTATTGTGTAATGATTTAACCTTTACAACTGTAGATTATGGTGTGAACTACTTATATACACATAAGTAGTATATAACGATAGAGATAGAATGTATTTCAGTAGAAGATCGAGAAGGAAAGAACGGAATGCCATTTGTATTAAAATTCAGACACAATGAAATCTGAGATTATTGACTGATATTTGCAAAAGGAACAGTCAAGTTTGAGAAAACCGGTTAACATTTTGCAAGTTAGGTATTTACTGTATGAATCTCAGATTTCAATAAATCCTGTAATTTTGTGTTCAAATACATTCGATTACCCACATTTGTGTTCTCGTTCACTACAGTATGACAATTCAAGGTGCATAATCTGTAAATTTCAATTATTTGAGTGTATTGGTAACGAAAAGTAAAACCATTTAAGAATGTTACTGTAAGAAGAATGTTGTGTTTAGAAAACATGAATTCGTTGTTTTTAATCATAAAACTCAATTAGACAAATGATATGAGGCTTTTTTTCAATCTCAAGAAAATAACACTTTATTTTTTACAATTTAGAAGAAATAATTTGATTTAAATCATTTGTTATCAGTAGGGGTTTGTGGAGATTTTAGAAGTTTCACAGATTGAAATCATGATTCAGTTGAAGCTAGACCATCATGGAAAACCTGGGAGCACTGGACGGCCGTTTCGTCATAGTATGGGACTCCCCAGCAGTGCGCATCCACGATCCCTCACCCCGCGAGATCCGAACCCAGGACCTACCAGGCTCGCGCCAGGCGCTTAACCAACTAGACCACTGAGCCGGCATCCACAAACCCCTTCTGATAATAATCATCTGCACACTAGCGACCGATTTCAAGAGATACTCCTGGAGTTCTAGTGAGAAGCCGTTACCACTGAAGACAATGGTGTACTGTGACGCAACTTCGTGGATTGGTTGAAGTTAGACATTAACACCATTGGATGCCGGTTCAGTGGTCTAGTTAGTTAAGCGCCTGGCGCGAGCCTGGTAGGTCCTGGGTTCGGATCTCGCGGGGTGAGGGATCGTGGATGCGCACTGCTGAGAAGTCCCATACTATGACGAAACGGCCGTCCAGTGCTTTCAGGTTTTCCATGGTGGTCTACCTTCAACTGAATCATGATCTCAGTCTTTTAAATCATTTGGTTTTAGAGTTGTAACTTCATGTTTATCTACAATATTTTTGAGTGATTCTGACTGGTGAAATACATTTGTTTATTTAATGCAGATAAAAGCGACTATGAGTAAATGGCTTTAGTTATCATATACAAGTTATAGGGGTTTTACGTTGTCTTTTCCTCATACATAATTAACTGAAACATAGGAAAAATTATATGATAGTCGATCTGAATGGGGGTAATTCCAACCATCGAACTGATTATGGTAGTTTTATTGAGAAAGTTTCAGTATCCAAAAATCCCAATATAAGTAAACCGATGGATACGTTGGAATACTTGAAATTTGTACAGGAGAATCTAACAAAACGTACTGCTTAAATAAGAGACAGAGTGTTCTGTGCTTTTTCACTCAAAAGTACGCTATCATCACCTTAAGGTTGTGGGAAAATAAGCTCTTTTAAACTAGTTTATCGATCAGTTAAAACCATTAGTGCAGATTTTAAGTGGTTAACACTGCCTACTATGATGTCGCCATGATGAGACTTGTAGTATCGTCTTTTATGGAAAACACCTGTATAAATATTTAGCCTTTCAGTTTTATTTCTAATAAGCTGTTATTAAGGATTAGTGGGTAACATTCTGTTTGATGAGGGATAAACATAATCTCATGCAAAGACATCAATTCATTTTTGTGTTGGCTGTATGGATCTTCCCATTGACGTTTAGGACTACAATTGATCAGTACATTGGCATATGTACGTCCTGTGCAGGTTTCCTCGATGTTCCTATTAGGCTGTATAAGCAGAAACGGATAGTGGCTAGCAGTGGAATCCTCAACGTGCGTCTTGTCCTACTTGATACTCGTCAGTTGAATACACTTGCATCCCAGAGACTAACATTGTGCCGGGCTCTGATCAACTGCAGCCAAAACATCAATAAAGCGATTCAAATATCCAATACAAATAAATTAAAATTCATACAAGTGAATCGTTATTTGGAATCAGTAACTAAGTTGATAACGTAATGGCGTTTTGAGCGAACAATAGTGGGCTCGAGTCCGGAGCTAAACACCAACAGTAGGATGTAAGCGTGTGCAGCTGACAAGTTCCAGATGAGAAAATTTGTCAGTTTCTGAATCGGGAGAGTAAAGAATACAATAAACCTGCTTGCTATCTTCGTGTTCTAATTAGTCATTGTGTGAACAAATGGGAATTAGGATTTCCAGTCGTTGTTCAAAGTCATTAGTCATTTATCTGATTGGTGCACACGAACGGATCATTATTAGTCTCTGATCTAGTGGGCAAAAATTCAGAATTTTAAAGATCACAACAAATAAACATTGAATGTTTTATTTTTTTTGCCATAAAAATAACTTATTTACAAGATAGATTAAAATACTCATGTTAGCAATTTTGAAGTTCCTGGAGTATAACAGTTTATATGTTTACCTTCAACATGAAAATGATATGTGCTCGAAGTGGTAACATTCTGAAGATTAATATTGTCCTCTATTGAACGTTTCCAACAAATTAACTTAATTTTGAAAAGAAAAGAGAAAAAGGAACAACACAAATTTCAATAAACTGAAGTAATAGTAATTAACTACACAGAGGAAATTTATATAAAGTAACGTTATTTTGTCTCTATATCAGACTGTTCTGGTTTAGACTTCAAAAGTTATCGTAAACTGTGATTGGTTAATCAACAGTCATATATATTGGTTCACATTCCCACACCCACTAGCACAGAGATAGAATTACCAAGGCAAATCCCATTTTAATAGAAGTGTGGTGTATGCTACTTATGTCGACATAAGTAGTATGTGACACCAATCAAAGGTGGGATGTCTGGCAGCAGATCGACTCGAAAAGAACAGGAACAGAGAGTAATCTTTATGGCAATAAAGGTCGATGAAGTTTGATATTATTGATGGAGGATTTGCAAATGAAATATTTGATGCATTTATTTCATATTTCATTAAAGAACTCTGGAATTCAGCATTAAAATACATTGGTTGTCACCACCTGTGTTCTCGTTCACAACAGAGATGGTAACAGTATAAGTGGTGGTTGAGAAAAATTAGGCACATACGATTCAAGGAAACATAAACTGAAGCTCTCTAACTACCGGTTACGATAATCACGCGGACCTCAACCAGGTAATCTACACCTGTTGAAAAGGATCAGTTCCATTGTCGATAACATCGTGAACTGGTGCTGTCTTCCTCTGGTAGATCCTAACTTTTCCCAGCCTACTCTTATAACAGACAATATCTGCTGTTGAAGTAAGTGATGGCTGAGAATACGTGACACATGATGATTTACTACCTCATCGATAGATTTGCTATTCTTACCTAGTGCCTTATCCCTAACCCAAGGATTGCTTGATTTGAAGACACTTAGTAACATATGGTGGTCAGAATACTCTGCATTTTATCGGCGTCTTTATCAAATAACCACACCATCTGCGTATTCTAGGTAAGAAAGTTAATCTCTTAGTAAAGGACAAACCTCTGAAAGTTCAGATGATGAGAGCGGTATCTTTAAGTGTCAATAACAAGGTTAACTAAAAATGGGGAAAGACAATCCTGACGAGCACCAGTTGAAGTTGTCAATTTCAATAACAGTTCGCCATAAGCTCTGACTCAACCAGTAATGAGAATACGATAAACAAAGCTGAAGAAAACTGTCTAATCAATTAGGAATCAGCATGCATAATGATATCTCATCAGTCTTCAAATAGAAATAACGAATAGTTACAGATGTCTGGTGATAAATTTTATGTGAATTATTTTGGGAACAAGGGATTATATAAACATACTAAATCGTAGCAAACACTAAAGAGTTTACAAGAAATTTACCTGACCATCAACCAATGATGTATAACCTGTTAGTAATGGTTTACATTCTAGTGTAATTGAAGCCCGTGATTTCCATAGAGCAACGAGATGTACTAAAGCAGGTTCGTATTCTGATACAATTGAATCTTGGAAAAAATCTCCAATATGTATTCCGATACAAACTAATATATTCGCTATATTGATGACAGTTTGCTGATCACGTGAATGATAAAGCCAACTACATAAAAATTGTTCTAATTCACGCACAGTAACTCCTAGATCATATAAAGCTGTTATATTATCAATGAAAATGCCAATATTTTTTTGTTGCACACCATTCGAAGGATTAGTTGTGTAATTATTCTTCAGAAATTCATCAGTCTAAAAATAGGTGGTTTTTATGAAGAAAAGAAGTGAAAAGTATACAATCAGTACGTAATCTTAAGTGAGCAGATTTGCACTACAGAGAAAAAGTTTTTACCATCGTTATTTATAATAGTAGTGGTGTAACCTCCTTGTCTAAATTCAGTGACATGAAGATAACGAATTTAATTCTATATATATTTCTAAGCGCACCCTACTGAGTTTTAATCCAGTAAGAAACAGCTATTTTC